TTATTGAATCAACTTTAACTGGAACACTTCCAATACTTTTTGATGGATCATATAAATATACAGAATTAATTGTTAATATAACAAATAATGATAATGATGACATCCAACATATATCAACCAATATACCTTTAACAAATTTAAATAAATAGACTTATTTTTTTCGAATAGATTAAATAATTTTAGAAAATGTTTTCATCTAATTAAATCGATTTCGATATTCTCTTGTAGAAAATTATTTTCAATGAATATTTTATTTTATTATTATATATTTAAACGTTTTCATTCTTTTTGTTAAAATGATCATAACGATTAAAGTTATCAGTAAAAGCTTAAATACTTATTTAAAAAGGAATTTATCACACGAAATTCTGTTTGATTTTTTTTCTCAAATTATTAATTAAAATTTTAAAGAATATTTTATTGAGAATGACTTTAGCTAATAAAAAAAATCAATAATGTAAGGGGACCACGAGAATTTAAAGTTATCCTGTTTTACTTTTCTATACACTATGTACTTCCTTTAGTCCTTTTAGTGCTTTTAAAAGACCAAAAGTACTAAAAGGGCTAAAGGCACTAAAAGACTGAATATCATTTATAAAAAAGTAAAACAGGATAACTTTTATTTTTCGTGGACCTATGGAAAATCGTTGATATTCAATTTATAATATAATCTTTTTATAATCGATTAAATATCGATCTATATCATATAAATGATTTTTTCTTTTTGATTTTTCTCTAAATAAAACAAATATTAAGAATTTTGATATCAAATCTCACTTAAATGTTAAATTCATTGGAAAAACTTCAATATCGATATTGTTTTTTTGTTTAAATATCGAAATAAATTCTTCTAATAACGACATAAAGCTATTTTAATTAATTTCTATAAATGGTCAAATATCAATATAATCGATATTCGTCCATCTTATATTTATTTCTTCAACACAAATTCAAATAGTTATCAATCGAGATTCTTCTTTAAGACTTATCAGTAGAAATCTACGACTACCTATATCAAATTAAAAACGGACACTGATTTTCACATAAGCCGTTAATATTTTTTAACAACGAAAAATGTAGACTCTCTTCACAACTTGTCAATCATTGAAACAAAAAAATGATCTTAAAACTTAATGAATATTGGAATATGAACTTTGTGAATAGAACAAATATTTTTTGAGAATCTTACGAAATATAATTAAGATGAAGTTTTTTTTCAATTGTGATCGTGCTGAATATTTCATTATAAATACTATTTATTATCTTTAGTCTATCAGTTAATTTCAATTATTTTTTTTTCTCGTATGCTTATTGTGTTTAAAAGGTTTTCTAATAAATATTGATATCAGAGAGAGAGAGAGAGAGACTAGTTTTTGAAATATATTTATCTTAATAAAATTTAAAAGAAAAATGAAAATACAAACCATAATCATTATCATTCCATTCGAATTCATGAATTTTTTTACTTAAATCAAATAAAATTAATTTTTTATTATCATGAATAAGAATATGTTTTGCTGAAAAAGCCAATGTTGATGAATTTGTTTCTAATAAATATGTTTTTATTGGTTCAGGATTTAATGCAAATATTTCCATTATATCAATTGAATTTGTTTTTTTCTTTTTTTTAACTAATAAATTTTTATCTTTTTTTGTATCATCATCACTTAATTCATCTAATGGATCTTTTTCTCCATCAGTTAAACGAGCAGCTAAAGCCATTTTTGCTATTCGAATTGGAACTGAAAAATTTTTTATATCAGGTAATTGAACATTTAACCATGGACGATTAACTAACATTTCACTTTCACTTTTTATATGATTTAATAAACCCTAAACAGAAAAAAAACATCAAATCAATGCTTTTTTTTTTCATTTTATTTATTAAAACAATACAAAACACATTTATCTTTATTGACTTTTGAGTTAACTATTCAATTGACCGAACAATTACTTTTCATTTTAGAGATATTATTTTATACCAGAGGTCCAACTAGGCCGCGTTTTTACAGGCCTGGCCGGCCTATGACAGGCTTCTGAATTCCAAGCCTGCCTGTGCCTGCCAACTTATTTGTTTGGCCTGGCCTGCCTGCCTGGTATTTTCTTCGGCCTGCCTGGCCTGCCTAGAAAGGCCTGTCTATTTTTCTTTTATGCCAATACCATTACCAGGGGTGTAGCAAGCAACCAAAAATTGGGGACGGGGGTAGTAACTTATAAAATCCTATTTCAAAAAATGTTGGGTGAGTAGCTAGTGTTTTCAGGTCTTCCGGATGTGAAAGCTTTTTCGAGATTTTTTCTGGATTTTCAGAATTTTTTCTAAATTTTTTGGATTTTTTGACGATTGTGCGCTTTTTCAGGATTTGTTGGGATTTTTTCGAAATTTTTGGTTTTTTTAGGGATTTATC